AATATTAACTTTTGTTATTTTTTATATAAATTAATTAAAAATTAATTTTTATTTTTTTATTTAAAAATGTTAAATTTATGTTATGCTTATTAATATTTCTTTTAACTTTGAAGTTTAAAACTAGGTTACATTTTAGAATTTAAGGAGCTGCAATAAAATTTCATGACTGCATGAAAACAGCAAAGTTTGATTTTTAGATTTAATTTTTCATTTTTAACTAAGCCGTTGAAAAACTTGAATATTTTCACTCATGTATGCAATTGGAAGGGAAAGGCAAAACACTGACATTTAAATGAATTTGGATTTTATTTACCAAAAAAAAAAAAAAGAATTTGGATTTTTGAAATGCAGAAAATGAATGGACAGGTATGGTTCTGATCCTTGCTGCTTTCATCTGACCAATCATGAAGATCAACCTTGATCCCTGGACTTGGTTGGATCGCCGAATCTCATGGACAAGTACATAGAAATTAACCAAGAAAGAAGGTTTTGGTGGTATGTATGGATATTTTGCTCTTTCTTGTGGTACATAGAAATTAACAAAGAAAGAAACAGCCATTTGGTTTTGTTGGTATGTAAGGATATTTTGCTCTTTCTTGTGGACCTAAACCGTGACTGAGATTTTAACTTGTCAGGTCTACCAGGGAGTCCCAAATGGGCTAGAATTAGACAAAAACAGAAAGCAATGAACTGAAGTTTTAATGTTTTTTAATTTAACCTCCGCCTTTCAATTCAGGAAAGGTTTGCCCGTTTGGGAGAGAGATTGGCAGCATTTGATGAGAAGAAAATAAAATTCTAGATGTGCGCAAAGAAAAGTGAAGGCTTATCTTCTTCTGAATCACGCACTCTCCTTTGGAACACACACCTCTCAAAAACAAATTTTAAGTTTCTCGTCTTCCAGGATTTTATTCAGAATATACCCCGCTCGACTTGTTCAAAGAAAAGTGACTTCCTTAAGACAGAAGAGCCGCTCGTTACTTGAGTTGTTGCATGCCACATGAATGGTTCCTGGCTCTGTGGTTAGCAGTCGATGAGAACAAAGCTCTAGATGCGTCAAATATAGTACGGCCCACTCTCACAAAACTGAAATATGGTAAAATTCGCATCATATCATGAAGAAAAGTTAGTTATAACATTGTTGTCACCATATGGAACAATGAACGGAATATATAAAAGAAAAAATGAACCCACACAGCAAAACCGAACATCTTGCTCAGGATGTCCTGACCAGAAAAACAGAACACCTCTTGTGCTCTCTGGCTTTAGATAAAGGGAAAATAATATTGATATAAAACAACTTTCAAAAAGGCTGGTCTCCGAATTAATTTTCCATTACAACCAGTTCTCTATTATAATATAGCCATAAGTAGGTTCTAAATTAAAGGCTCTTTCACAAAAGTAAAGGCATAACCACAGCTCAAACCGTCCCACAAAAAAAAAAGAGGAGAGAAAAAGAAACTAGATAATATTCACCCCTGCATCCAGAACGCCATCTTGCAAAATCCTCATCAATTCATTCAGCCCCGCAATTGAAGAAATGTGATATATAAGAACAAGATAAAAGAAGTTTTACAGTTCAATAGTGTAAATTCACATCCATAATCCATATTTCACAACTTAGAGGCCTAAGGGAAATGGGTCAAGACTCTTCAGAATGTAATATATCAGAAATTCATAAGTTAATAAGACCAACAAAAATGACGTTTATCAGTTAACCCTTTAGTAGCACACTTCCAAAACTATTTACATATTATGATCCCTGAAAATCCCAACAAAGTATCCATTCTTATCTTACCTTGTTTGCAATGTTGTTGGAGAGCCAATCCAAACCCTCAAACAACCCCTCACCAGAGGTTGCACAGGTGCTCTCGATGTACCTGCAAAGATCAAAGCTATTAGATGCCATGAAACAAAAAGGCAAATGCAAATTACAGTAGGTAAATGCAATGAGAAAGCATACAAATGATGCTGACGAAGGGAATGCAAGCCAAGCTTATCAGTAATTTCAGTAGCATTCATTGCATTTGGAAGATCTTGCTTGTTTGCAAATACAAGCAACACTGCATCTCTCAGCTCATCCTGAAAACATAATGAACAAATAACAGAAAAATTAAACAAACTATCATGCCAAATACAGCCAAAAACAGGAGATAAACCATATACATAAACAGGGAAGACAAAAGGACTAGATGGATCCCCTGAAAAGTAACTGGCATACCTCATTCAACATCCTGTGCAATTCATCCCTAGCCTCAACAATACGATCTCTGTCATTACTGTCGACCACAAAGATTAGACCCTGTGTGTTTTGGAAGTAATGCCTCCACAATGGACGGATCTGCACGGAATAGCAAAAACTTGTAGCATAGTATGGAGAAAAGAAGAATCATAAATAACCTACCGATCACTGTTTTCTTGAGAACAATAAAATAAAGCACTAAAAAGGCATATGTCCCTTGACATTGGAGCTAAATCTCAATCTGAAAAGGTCATACCTTATCCTGACCACCAGCATCCCACACAGTGAAACTAATGTTCTTATACTCAACAGTCTCTACATTAAACCCTGAAGATAAATAATATGTGGTTAGTTACAGAATCAACCAGTAGCATGGATCTGAACGTCAAAAAATGTGGACATAATTGAGATACTGTTAATCATCATGCAACAAACTGGAACCAACGTTACTCAAATCTGAGCAAATTTAGAGCTGGATAAGGATACTATTATAATTGTCTGTCTTCCTAGAACTCATAATGTTGAATCTGGAATCAAGCATGTAACATGGTTCAGTTCTGTTTAAATATCCTATAATCAAATTACTGGACTTCCAACTTCTACCATGAATATATCATAACAAGCAGATACTAAGAGAACCTAATGGTTCATTACAGGAATGAAATGTGACTACCTTGCATTCTAATTCTGGCTAACCTTTTATTGTATCAACAAAGCTAAATTCTGACAAGAAAAGAAATTGAAGGGGTAAGCAAAGCCAATTACACTCTCTTTTAAGTTCTAACTAATAGGCCAATTTCACTCTCTTAAAAGTTTTAACGAACAGTCCAATAGACAAACTATCTCACAAGCAGATAAAAAATAAATTACACAGTTTTAAAGTATAAGCAAGACACCATTGACATAATTCCAACAAAACAACTCTCCAATGGTAGGAATGGTGGTAACAATCTCCCCAAGCTTGAGCTCGTACAAAATGGTGGTCTTACCAGCAGCATCAAGACCAACCATCAAAATTCGCATCTCTTTCTTGGCAAAAAGCCGGCTAAAAAGCTTTGTGAATATAAGCCCCATTTCTCTTTCAAGCTGTTGATCCCTGCAAATCAACCAGTAAGTATTCCAATCAGAGAAAGAAAATAATTTAATGCAAAGATCACAAACACGAATGCCAGCATACTCAAATACTCAACTTAAACTAACAGAACCTCAACCTCCACAACTATTTAAAGTAGAAATGCTAGCATCATATAGAATGAATAGATCTGGAGCTATACAAAAGAAAACAAATTCAATATGCCACAAGATCATCTCCATCAAGTACCAAACAACCGGTAGAAATCCATGAACTAAATGAGAACAACAGATCTAGAATTACTCATCATGAAACCTTCAGATCAGAGCAAATAAGGACATTAACCTTTTTAAAAATGTTTGTTTGTCACATCAACATCATCATCTAATTAATTCTTAAATAAAAAAAATTAACAATTAATATCTTTAAATAGAAAATATTGAAAGTTGATATTTTTAA